AACAATATATTTATGTATTCAAAATAGATGCAAATTTTTGCATTCAAAATTGGTCAATATATAAAAAAAGTGGATTGAGTTCATATTTCTATCTACTATAAATTAAAATCATTTGACAAGAATACAAAATTATTAACACAAAGTTAAACTAAATTTATATGTTTTCGAAGGAGACAAAATTGCATTTGTATTATACATTATTGTATTTACACTCTTCTCAAACGGAATTTAAGGCTCAGTTTGGAAAGAGTGTAAATACATATAAATAATACAAAATATAAGGTTTTGTACACTATATGTTTGTATTTGTACTACTTCCAAACTGAGTCTAAGGCCGTGTTTGGTTGCGAATGAAAAAAAAAATACAAATTTTCATTTAATTTCATTTTGGGTTTTACTTTATTATGCTTCATGTCTTAATTTGCTTCATTTGTACTTCAAAATAAGTTAAAATTTGAAACAAAAATAGGTCAAAATTTACATTCAAATCATTTGCACTGCCAAAATTTACAATTTATTTTGGCCAAAATTTTGAATGCTGGTGAACAATTATTTTTTATTAATTTTATATACCCAAATCAAATGCCTATTTTAGGTAGACAGTGAAATATGACAAGCCATCAGACTCACCTCACTTGGGTCACCTGATAATACAAAAGCTGATCCATTAAAATGGGTCATCCAGGTCCATTGGTCGTTGACCAAGCCAACAACTTTTATAATATGGTAGGTGAAAAAATCAACCCAAAATCAAAGTGGTGATTATAGCACTAATATGGGCAACCGGATCGGCACAATTGGTTAAAAACATTGCCACCTTGTTTCTTTCGACTAGGAAAACTTAAGGCTGTGTTTCGTTGAAGGAAAGATTTTGGTGGGATGGGATGAGATGAGATGAAAAGGAGAAAATGGGTGGAAATTTTTCACATTCCATTGTTTAGTTGCAAAAGGAAAAGTAGTGGGAAAATCAACACCAATAACAATAATTAGTTAATTGGTAATTTTTATTATTTTTGTATTCTATTATTAAAGATTAATTAATTAACACTAACAATTAGTTAATTTCTTATTCGTTAAAAAATAATAGTTTAAATTTTAGTTAATGCTTTATTTTATTAATATCTATCATGAATTAATTAATCATTCTTGTATTATTAGTAGTATTTTTAATTAATTTGTTTTATTTAATTATTAAGTAAATTAATAAAGAATAATTATTCAATTATTCATTAATTACTTAATTAATTAATTTAGTTAATATAATAAAATAATTAATAATTTATTAATGGGTCTTAGGTCTAATATCAACTCTTAAGGAAGGTGTTTTTCTTATTAGACAAGTTTTCCCCCTCCCTTCCCACTTGTTTCACACCAAAATGGTGGGATTTCACATCTCAAGAATAAGAATTGGGAACAATAATCCCCTTTCTTCCCATCCCACCTCGTGACCGGCAACAAACCAAGTAATATATGAAAAAATTCTTTTTTTTTTCCCTCTTCCCATCCCACAAACCAAACGTAACCTAAAAACTATTATGTACAAGTACAAATCACCTCCTTCACCAACACTTTTTCTAGGTGAGCCGATTCCCATCTCAAAATATAAAAATAAAAGGAAAGAGAACCCCTAAAAGGCAAAGAGAAGAAAAATTATTGCAAAATATGGGCTTCAAATGTTGTTCCATTTGACATTCTTTAGATTTGGGCCATTTTTACAAGCCAAATAATTGAATCTGGGCTTCAAATGTTGTTACTGCTGAGACAATATGTTCAGTTTCGTGGGTCCTCTCTTCATTGAGCAACCATCAAATTAAGCAGTTGGTACTTGGTAGCTCCAGCTATGATGATATTGAATTGAACCAATCCAGATTTAATAGTCCAAAGTATTTATTGGATTGAATTAAATCAGATTCATCCGTAATAAATTTATATTAGATTGGGTTGAATTGAACCAATATCTGATCTATTGATAGAATATAAGAATTTAGGTATCAATTGACCAGATTTGAATTGAAATCAATCTAAACTAAAATGAACTTGAACAGATAAGACGATTCAGACATTAAACTGGACCAGTCTAAAATGGTCCAAAATGTTTATTAGATTGAATTGGACCAATTGAATTGACATCCCCACAGTGATGTGAGAACTGAGAACCCACCCCATCAATAACCCAATACACTTTACAGTGCATGCAGGTCATTAGATATGCAAATAAATCAAGTCTCAGACTCTGGAATTGATTTACTTGAATATCACATATCGAACTCGATCTGGATTCAATCCAATGGGAACATAATTGAGACTAGTAGATACAAGTACATATAGTTAAAAGAATATCACAAGGGATGGGATCATAATGAGTGATTGAGATGGTAGAAAAACACAGAAATTGAAATTTTAGAAACTATAGAAATTATTTTAGAAACTATAGAAATTGAAAAACAAAACTAGAAAATAAAAATTATAGAAAAACATAGAAATTGCAAATAAATAACAAAAAAATCAGGAAATTTTATAGATGGTAGAAAATAGAAAAAATGTAAAAAAACAGAAATTATAAAAACATTAGAAATTATAACAAACACTAAAAATGTAAAAAATTAAAGAAAATTGAAAAATGAAAAAGACCATTTTCCTCTAACTCGCCATTCAAGAGTGATTTGGTCATAAAAATTGTTATTTATGCTGACGTGGACACTTCTGTTAAGAAACAGTAACGGTGCACTAACGGAATGTGAGTTTTAGAAAATAAAAACTTACTGACATGATGAGTTTTAAACGTTTTGAAAATTTGTGATGAATTTAAGAGAAATACTGAAAAAGTCATAGCGAGTTTCAAACAATTTCCCAAAAACAAATGGGTACATAGTAACATACAAGTAAGTCGTAGGAATACTAAATGTGACATAACAATAGTTGGCACAAGACTTTGATGTCTCAACACACCTTATGTGTGAAACACATGATGTGGTGTTTCTGTATCAATTTGAACCTGTCCTAGTAAATATGTTTTTCCCTGAAAAAAAATACAAAAGCAAATATGTTTCAGTATAAACCTTCAATACAGTATTTCTAGAATTCACATCTCCACCCCACAAAGTCCCGTCTCACAATGTCTCATAGCACATCCTCACAGTATATTGGAAACATCTCTCGATGAGAAAATCATCAATTCTGATACTATCATCATTCTTTCTACAGTTAAATCTTCATTTTTTTTTTCTCTTTAGATTGCATCTCTCTCCACCTCTTTATTAAGAAACGGAAGTTTGAACGAAAGTATAGGTATTAAATTCACATTGAAAACAAAATCTATTTTGTCAATTACACAGAGGTTCGTAATAGTCACCGTTACCATCACCGATCACCGTCAGCGAGGTAGGTAGCTACCATTACTAAAGTCGACCTTCATGTCTCCATCCTACCCAAATGTTGTCGAGCAATCGATCAAAGACTCGCGTTTCCGATTAATGAACCCAATACATGCACTGACCGCATTCCTCAAGTACTCGCCGGAAAACCTGGTCCATATCCGCCGGAAGAAATGCCGGCCGGAGGAGCCCACGAGCGAAGACATGGACTAGAGGTAAGCCTAGGCATCCTGCTTGATGAGGCGGTTCTTGATGGAAATCTCATGGCCGGACTGAGAACTGGGGCCGGTCGGAGATTGGACTACTGCGCCAGGGGATGAAGGCATCAAGTCCCTAAAGGAAGTATAAGTTCGTGATTGTAAAGAGACAAGCTCAAAATCATTGGGCAACACAACGACTTTTCGCCGTTGGGAAAGCTTGAGCTCAACACTGGGGGGAGATCGAGCTTTGTGTGGAGCAGGCAAGAAGCTATCGAGTTCCTTCGTCGGAGTGTTGAGTAAGTGTCTGGTTTGATTGACCCCATCGATATAGATAGAACAGAAGAACAGAGCCCCACAGATAGAGAGACAGAAGAGGTTTGAATAGATTTCACATGGTTTAGATCAACCTTCTTCGGTTGGGACTCACTCACCGGTGGAGAATCCGGAAGACATGGTTTTTGGATTCTAGCTTTCTGCTGCTCTTTCGCTGTTCGCGTTTTGATGGGCCTATATTTGATGCTTGATCCCCACCTACCACCTCTCGTACAGTTGGGGTTTAGAGATTTACCGAAAGATTGACCTGAAAGTGATCAATTAAGCTCTGTCCCAACGACGAAGGATTATAGTTAAATTCTTAACTTAATAACTTACTGAAAGATTGACCTGCTTAGTAATACAATATTGGTCTTTGCAATCTTCAGAGTGGTGGCTGGGGTCTTTGGGATGAACTTCTCAATATCATTGTTTAACGAACCAGGAGCATTCAAGTGGTTTCTTGCAATCACAGGAATATGTGGGGTTATTATATTCTGTTCATTTTTGTGTTTTTTCAATTACAGCAGACTCATGAAGGCAAGAGAATCTCTCTTTTAGGCCTATTTTAAATCTGAAGAATGAAGAACGATCGGTTAACGCCACCTCTGTTGTTCCTTCAACTCAGATTGAAGAGAAAGGGGAATAGGGTAAAAAGAAAGAAAAAGGATAAAATGGTCCAAATATTATCATAAAGGCCAGTTTTGATATTATGAAATTATTTAAAATGCACGTGATCTAACGATCAGGTAATGGCTTTATTTGACAGTAAATTAACACTATGTACCGGATTATCATTGCAAATTGAAAATTTGGGTATTAGATTATCGCATTTTAAAGTTTGAGGACCAAATTGTCACTTGAATTAAAGTATAGGGTATTGATAAAAAATTTTCCCTAATAACTTTTGAAACAGTAAAGGTAGCCATAAACAATAGCTAAATCATAAGCATAGTTTAAGAAAATTGGCCTAAAACATAAGATAGAAATAGAAAGTTGACACAGATGTTTATGGGATTCTTTCTATTCCTCTATTAATTTCTATCAAATCAAAGACGGCCTAAAGTTGATCCACTCATGTGATGCCCGTATGACAGTGTTTGTTTCCGAGGAATTAATGGTGTCAAACAAGCTATCAAGCAATAACTTTAATTCTATTAAAGAAGTATTACATTTCTACCAAGAAAGATTATTTGAGAGTTTGATTGGTTGGAGAAAATATTCTGAGCTCCATTATGTCTCATCTCATGAACATAGGATATGTAATTCTTGGCAGAACAGGGAATTTCTTTCTCCTGCCCAAAAAGGATCTACTTTGCCTGCACCAAAATGTCATTGAAATAAGTTTTAATGAAAGGGACGTTAGAAAATAGTTTGGCTTCAGCCAGTGCAACGTCCATTCGAACTTTATAGCTTTAGAGAGATATTTCTAATGCAAGGTTGTAAGAGGTTATTCGAAATGCGAGTTATGGGCGTGCATTGACAGAAGTCGAACTTGTTAGAAAATTAGGGAGAGAAAAATATGAATAGGATGAAAACACTCACTTGGTCATCTCCACAGGTTGTGTAAGTAGGCCTCCGAGGGGGTAGCTGTTGATGAGGTGTCCGCTAGGGATTACGGTGCCAAGATCAATGATTTGGTGGTAAAAAAAGGAGGACAAAAGAGTAATATACCTCTATTATTAGATTAGACTAGTTGATATTGATCTTTTCTGCCCATTTTTTTAGAAAATAAAATAAGGGCCCATTTGATTTACAGTCCGAATCCGAATTGGAACACTCCATTCCCATAGACTGTTTGGATTAGATAGAAATTGGAATGGAAATTGAAATCAAATGGGATTTTATTCTCAAGGGAAGGGGGAGGGAATAACTATTCCACCGGGAATGAGAATGGGAATCTGAGTCCACTCAACCAAAAAGTTGGACATTCCGATTCCAATTACAGACCCCTATTTCCGCAAACCAAAAGGGCCCTAAGTCTGTCCCTTGGAATACAATCTCAATTTCTCAGTACATTATCAATAGAAAATACCTGTAATTTAGGGCGTAGCATCTCTACTGCTGCTTTGGACCTTTCGTTGAAGCCTGTTGTTTGCTGTGTGTACACCATCAATGAACAACAATACAACATAATTAGTCATTGAAGATTATCCATTTATCCCTAAGGATCTTATTTCATTTGGCTCCTTTCTGAAAACCTCACCAGATCAGAAACTGCCCTGAATTGTGGGATGGTTCAGCTCGGTCTGGGCTTGGGCTGGTACTTAGGCTTTTACATATTGTCTGGGTTGGGGCATTGATGAAGGTCCAATAAGCCACAGAGTGGGCCTCACTCGGGTCTCACCCACATTTCTAAATACCAAATTGGACTAGGGAGCAACAAGGGTGATAGGGTATCCATCCCCAAGTCCCAACAGCTTAATATTGTCCTGGAATTCCTGTTAGCTTCAAGCTTTAGGCCTAGTGCAAGAAGCAAGTAGGAATCTTAGCCCAGCCTGATCCATTTGGCTTTAACTACTTGGATTGGTGTTTAATGGGTTGGACAATTTTGAATCCATTTGGAAGTTTGTGGTCAGTTGGTCACCAGACCTTTTCTCCAACTCACAAGAATCAATTGCAGTCTCCATTAAGAACTCAAAAGCATGCATACATGTATTGGGGTGAGTCATCACTGTAGTCTTTTACCTTGCCTAAAGCCCAATCAGCTGAATCGAAAAATGCCCGTTCATGGTCCTGAAGATATGGAATTATGACTTCTTTCATTATAAAAAGTAAAAGTAAAAAAGAAAAAAGAAAAAAACTAAACCAAGTGAGTCAAAAATAATAACTAATAACATATTTCTTCGTACATTTACCTTTGAGATTAAGGGTTTCTTTCTGGGCAGAAGTCCATATTTCTTTCCTTGCGATGCCTGTTGTGTTGATGAACTGTTATCAGTAACGGTAGAATAAACTCTATCCACACACACACACACAAAAGCTCACTCTGGACTTGAGAAATGGTCCAGCCCAGTAAGAGCCCAATATTGTAATTACAAGTTAGAATCTCCGTAAGGTGGGCAGTGGGCACGGGTTTTGACAGACGAGTCATGGTCCATGACTCATGGAGAAGAGGTCCAAGTGACCTAAGAATCTTACAAGTAGCAGAATAATTGGAGGCCCAAGCCCAAATGGGTTCGAATAGTTTGTTTCCATCTCCAACTCTATCGTGGAGGAAGTTTTCATAGGAATATACCTTTCAGAAAAATGTGAATAGATGGTAGAATAAAGGGTTTTGTGGACCATGGGTAGGGCAAATAATAGATGCCCAGTTCACCCTTGATTGGGTCACGTATCCCATTATACACACTTTGTTTCTAGCAGATCCCATTATCCCACCATTATTTACACCTTTTTCTCAGCTTATTTCTGTTGAAGCCTGACCAATTATTCTATTTAAAAATCGTTTCGGAAAAGATGATTAATTTGTCCACGTGGCAAGTGTTGTTGGGCTAAGTAAGGCCCTTGCCGACAAATACCTGGTTCCGTTGTATTGTTTTTCCCTACTTACAAAAGTCTTAAACCGTCGGGCAAGAGAATTGAACAATGAAGTCATAAAACAAGAGATAAATGTGATATTACATATTTTTTTTCAAGTATGTATTAAACATGAATATTTCACCAAAATTTTTGAAGGAATGTTGACATTTTTTTTTTCAATTAGCTCGCTAAACTTGACAGGTGGCAAAAGCGTATGCTAATTGCTAAGAACCTTCTAAATAGAGGGGGTTGATGGAGTCTTTAGAAAACAGTGCACATCCCGGATTTAGCCCTTGCTGCGTTGTCCGTTCGATGACATAAACAGTTGGCCATGGCTGACTATAAGCATGCATACACAAGTTTTTGAAAGAGAAAATAATTCCAATCCAGTTCTGCTACTATCTGATGAGGACAACCCTTGACTGTCCTGCTCTGATAGCTAGATTATATCAGAACTAGAGAGAGAGAGAGAGAGAGAGAGAGAGAGAGAGGTTACCTCCTCTTGTTGATAAGCTAAATACTTCTCACCTTCACCTCTGTTGCAGTTTGCCATTTCAAGCTCTCTTGTTGCAGAGAGAGTGGGGATAGGAATGAGGAGATGGAAAGGGGAGTGGGGAGAAGTTAAAAAGGAGTCAGGGGGGGGGTGTATAGGGGATAAGAGGATATGTGGTGAAGGAAGAAAAGCTTGGGGGGTGGGACGTAGGGTTGAGGAAAAGGATGAGATGGGATAGTACACAAATTGAGATACGTTGCAGAAAAATAAAGGAATGAATAGAATGACAGACTCCATTAAGCAACTACAAACAAGAATATAACAAAGGTGGATCTTTTTGTTCATATTTTTAGGAGAGAGAGAGAAAAGCAAATGGATAATGGATGAAAAAGGAGCAACCTTACCTTACGTCCTTACCCAGCTCAAATGAGTCAAAACTCAAAAGGGAAGATGGGGTCCTCAGACTAGGGATATTGCGGGTGGGTTTCTATGGGCTCATGGGTTTGCGGTGGGTTCAGGCTTCTGATTCGGCCCACCCATTTCATATAGTTTACTGTATTATATACTGGAGACGTAGAGGTAAGGGTTTGCAAAGCATGGTGGTTCGTAAAAATTAAAGACAAGTTATTGCATTTACACTCCCATGATTGAAGCTTGGATGTATTGTAGCAGCAGCAGATTACCCTGTTGCGAACCGGTATTCTATTTATGGGTGTCAATGTACCAGATTTGGGTTGGATCCGACCAAATCAAAATCAATTTGTACATATTGAATGGACTAATAAGATATAGTGAATTGGGCCAGTCTAGATTTAAAGGTCCAAGGTATTTGTTAGATTAGATTGGGCTTGACCTGTTGTAATGGAATTATATTGGATTGGATTGAATTGAACCAACATACAGTACATTGATAAAAGATAAAGAAAGATATAGGTATCAATAGACCGGGTTTTAGTTGGAACCAATTTAAACAGATTGAACAATCCATAGATTGAATTGGATCGATACAAAATGGTTCAGAGTTCAATTTAAATTGGATTGGACCTGGTACATCTGTAATAGACTCGTATTGGATTGGAACAGATTGGACTAAATTAATCCGGTCCAATTGACGGCTCTAGTTGTATTAGAATCTTTTTACCTTGGTTCGCGGCGGGACGAGCTGCTCCGGCGCAGTAAGTGGAGCTTCATCGTATTAATCCATCAATTCCACTTCTCAGAAGCTAGAGCAATCCCTGTCCCATGATTCTTACTAGTAGTTTCGTCCTCTTTACTAAGAAACCCAAGGGAATTGGCCAGCTCCACGTGTCAAAACGGTGTTCAATTTTGTTATATTTATCTCAACTTTGTTTTTCTCCAGCTTGTCATCTAAATGGTTTTCAATTTTGTAACAATCACATCCTAGTGGCTGGAGTAGTGGTGGTGCTTCATTTCGGGTCTCCGAAAAGGAGTGATGATCCGATGAAGTAGGGGGCCGGGTCACACACGCCACTTTAAGGTTTGGACAGATAACTTCATATGGACCATTTATTTATTACACTATTTTTCTGTGGATGGAGATGTTCCCAAGTACCTATCTTGCATTCAAATATGTACTGGACGTGTATTGAAATCAGGTCAGCCCTACAAGCGTCCCACTGCACCTTCCACCCGTGTATTACAAGTACAAGGAAATTTTCCCAAATGCACGGTGAGATGTGGATGTGGGGGTCTTTCTGTGGGGCGTCAATGTGATCTGAGCATTGTTTCACCGAGAAAAACGACTAACATATCATGACAAATCCCGTCTTAATTATTTGTACAATTGGTTCGCTGCATCTCTATGACCAATATAAAGTGCTCCTCATCTTTTTGTTTTTTGTTTTTTTGGAGCACAAAATTTACACCAGTGTTCATCCCAAATATAAATGGCACCGACTCTTGCTTTTTCATCGGTCGTGCCAGGATCAGGAATCCACAATCAAGTACCACCGACTTACTTGTGCCGGTTCATTCAGCTAACCTATTATTCTAAACATTATTTATAAGCACCACAGTGCCCTGCCTGAATCGATCCTTTTCTCCCAGTGACAAGTAATCTTTCTCTTCCTATTACTATAGAAGAAGCCACCTGGGCATACCAATCTGAATCTGTGCTTCAAATACTAGTATTTGATCTCCTGCAGAGCTGCTTGTAGAGAGACGGAATGCTTGACATCACCTATGTGAAGGCTATGCTCGCCCATTGGAATTCTCCGAATTCCAAACCGGTCCACCACGCTGAGGTGCTTGCACGCATGTATCTTCACCTCAACTCTCTGCTCGGTCCCCGCTGGCACATGCACCTTCTCAAAGGCTACTAGTTGCTTACTGGGGGCCCATTGCCCGGTTGGGGGCTCTGAGAACACAAGCAGCGAGTGGGCTCCATCCATGGGCCCCGTGTTCTTCACATCTACATGTACAACTACGGACAGCCCATCACACTTGGCATGTGTGACCCTGACTGCCTTACCTGAGAATGAGACGGTAGTAGAGTTGCCAACCGCACGTCGGCCGTCGAGAGGAACCGAAACCAAGGTTGGTGCTTGGGCCACCGTGTGTGCAAAGTTGGTGTAGCTCATACCGTGGCCGAAGGGGTACACGACTGGGCCTCTGTAGAACCTGTAGGTCCTGCCGGGGTACCCACCCGATGGCCGCATGCCCATACTCGTCATTGGCACCTTTGCCACGTAGTCCTGTGGGTACCATGTCATTGGCAGCTTGCCACCTGTAACACATACCCATGAAAAGAAAATTAAGGCCATGTCATCGACAGCTTGCCACCTGTAATAGTATTCACCTGCTACAGAGTGTAGTGTAGGCTTGTACTTGTAGCAGCGTTTGCATACCTGGATTGCTTCTTCCAAATAAGATATCGGCAATTGCAGCTCCTCCAGCTTGGCCAGGGTACCCTGCCCATAGGATGGCGGAGATACGTGGGTCATCCCTAGCGAAAGACACATCAATCGGCCCACCAGACATCAAGACCAACACGGTAGGACCTCTGGAGGCCATAGCGACCCTAGATACGAGCTCCTGTTGGTGTCCCGGTAGAAGCAGCCCTACCCTGTCCTTGAACTCCGCCTCCATAGATTGGTCCAATCCCATCACCAGCACTGTTGCATCCGCTTGTCGGGCTGCGGCCACCGCCGCGCCAATTAGCTGGTTGCCGTTGCAGGCCACGCCACTACAACCCGGTTGGTGAATGGTCTTAGCGTATCTCCCAATACCTTGCAAGGGAGTAGTATATCCACATGGAACACCTTCATTCATTTTAAAAACAAAAAAAAAAAGTCAATTTCTCATTTTTCAAGGGTAATTTCGTCTGAGGATTCTCTCTTCTCTTTCTTCACCTTGTCTAACCTGCATAGTTTCCTATCATGGTGGCTGTGACGTCTGAGTTGGGGCCAATAATGGCTACGGTGCGATGACGAAAAGTGGATAAGGGCAGCGAAGGCCCATGATTCTTGAGCAAAACAATGCCCTGTCGAGCAGCCTCTAGTGCGAGCTCTTGGTGGGCCGGAGTGCAGACATCCCTTGGGCCGAGATGCCCAGACGGCTGGGCCGACGGCTCACCGTCAAACATCCCTAACCTCATCTGGACCGTTAATGTGTTGGTTAGAGCAGCGTTAACGTCCCACTCGCTCAACTTGCCTCTCCTTATGGCCGCCTCCGTGTGGACGGCGAGGAAAGGCCCACAGTCCAAATCCAAACCTGCAAAATGACCAACACCATAGATAGCTGCTTTGTACTAATACGTCAATGAGGGCAGAAATTCAGGAATTGTTGAAGAAAACTAGCCTGCTTTAATGGCGAGGGCAGCTGCTTCTTCGGGCGTGGAGGTGTAGTGTTGGTCGTCGTAGAAGACACCAACCGAGTCGCAATCTGAAACGATATATCTGTGGGCAACCCACAACCCTTTACAAGTAAGTATACCAGATAGATAACTACCAGAGAGAGAGAGAGAGAGAGACGGACCCATTGAGACGCCATTCACCCCGGATAGTATTGCGGAGGAGATTGGGGTCGGCACAGGTGGGAACGCCATTGACCTGATTGTAAGAGCACATGACACTGGCCACATTGCCTTCCACCACACAAGCCTTGAACGGCACATCGTACGTATCCTCCAAGTCTTGCTTGCTAACCTTGGCGTTGAAGTGGAAGCGATCAACGCCGTTCCAGTTATCGAGGTCGTAGGCGGTGTAGTGTTTGCAGCAGGCGGCAACCTTTAACCGGTTACCCTCGTTTCCCTGGAGTCCCCTTACGTAGCTGGCCGCGTACTTCCCGGCTAGAAGAGGATCCTCGCCGGGAGTCTCCTGCCCTCGGCCCCACCTTGGATCTCGGAATATGTTCACATTTGGGCTCCAATACGTCAAACCCGCCATCCCTCCGTTGTACATGGCCCTCGCTTCGTCTGACACCACCTGCGCCACCACCACCAACAACAATTTTTCAATTTTCACTTATGCTAGCTCCTGCCAAACTGCCTTCTGGGCCCAATTTTTTTTTTTTTCAATCAACGTGGTAAATTTGATTTACATGCTTTATCCACAAGATTCTCTTCTTTCTCATCAGTCATGACTCACCGGTCACCAGTCACCAGTCCAAAGCTGTACTTTTATTCTGTAAAATAACTGTAGACTTTATCCTATGAGGTGTATCCGGGTCACCCGGATACCCAAACAAGATGATGATAGTCTGGTACTGTAGTGTTTTGTCTATGGGCCACTTGTTGCAGGTTGATACTTTTAAGGGTGTATATATAAAAACCTTTTTTCTGTTTTTTCGCAAAGGTGAACAATGAAAAGCAGAAACACTAAAAAGCTGCTTTCACGCATCAATTAAGCTGATTAGTAGGGCAGCATGGATATGGAATATCAAAGGCGGATGACCCTAATTAATATGACAGGTTATGGGACCGCCCCCTAAATCAAACAATTTATGGTTGGTTCTACATTTGTACAGGTTATTTAAGACAATTTCTTCAATAATGAATGGGCAAATTCTGCTGGTAATTAATGGATTTCACATCCCCTCCATCCATGATTAGCAGCTATAATAGGGATTTATGTAGCTGTTCATGGGCTGGGCTCGGATTACATGGTCATTGACAGAAGTGATGTAAAAATTATGGTCCATCATCCCCTTTTTCTTTTTTGTTCAATGGGTCTATAAAACAGGGGCTACCAACTGAGCCAATGAGCCAATTATGGTCCATCCCTTTTTTTCTTGTGTGTGTGGTTCAATGGGTCCACTGGAACAGGGGATATAGCCCATTCCCCCAATTGGGTGGATTGATAATTATTTTCTAATTAATGAAGGAAAAATTTTAATGAAAATTGTGGATCGAATTTTATCGCTCCGGAACCGACACCACAAAAGTACAAATCCTTGACCCAACCCGTACCCGATCAGTTCATAACCGGGGAAGAAGAAAAACTGAAAAAGATTCCCCACTGCCCTCACCAGTCAACCAGTCACCAGTCACCAGTCACCACCAAAAGATAGAATAGAAAGAGCAATGGTGATTGTTCTTCCAATGAGTTAACCGCCCGTGATTGTTCTTCCAATGAGTGAATAGTATTTATTAATTAATATAGATGAGACAGCAATGGTGGTCCTCAAAAGCCTAACTATAATATTTTTACGATCATACACTATTATCAAATAAAGTATAATGGAATATATCGCATGTCTCTTTCAATCTCACCCCTAATATATAAACCAAGAATCACCGGTTATCCTTGTGATGCTTTTGCTCACTCTCTCACAACACTACTACACTTGTAGCGAGCAGCCGCAGAAATGAGTGTCAACGTTCTCCGGTTATCAATCAAAAAATATAAAGAAAGAGATAACAAGGGATAATGAAATGCGAAACGGAGAATCGCAAATTAAAAACGAGAACAAAAGGAAGGAATTGAGGAAATGAAAAGGATTTACCCGTCCAATTTGTTCCCACAAGGAAGCATTGAAGGAAGCAGCGGTGGTGATGACCTGAGGGAAACTGGTAGCTCCGGGGAATGCTCCGCCGAATTTGGTTCCAGGGCCGACGTTGGAGACGCCATGAAGAGCCTCCGACCACCACTCGTAGCCCCTGATGCCTAGCCTCGGCACGGGAGCAGCGTTGTTCACCAGTAGCCTAATCTTCTCTTGCAACGTCAGTCGTCCAATGAGGTCTCTCACCCTATTGGGTATGGGGAGAGATGGTCGACAGAAGGGTAAGTTTCTCGTCAGCCCATTTCTAGGGTCACAGGCAAATGCCGGACGGGCATCTCCGGTTCGGGGAGAAACAAACAAACAAGCAACGAATATCACAAGGCAGAGGGAGATGGGTGGTTTGAACTTGAAGGCCATCTTTGTTTATCACTACTAACAAATTAAAAGAGCTTCTCTCTCTCTCTCGCTCGCTTACAGCCTCACACACACACACACACTTCTTTTCTTTATTATTGTTTTGGGGTTGTGTGTGGAAGCTGCTGAGGATGGTGCGGGGGGAGGGTACTTGCTTTATATAGAGGATGATAGTGCCGGGAGTGAAGGGTAGTCAATAGTGATGAAAAGAAAGAGAAATGGGTTTGATGATTGGATCTCCACGTCGTCCATTAACTGTTTTTAGAGAGAGAGAGAGAGAGAGAGAGAGAGAAATTTGTTGATTGCGTTGCGTGAGTGATAAACCGATAAGAAGTGCTAGGTTGGTATAATAAACACGCACCCCCTCGTCGAGCTGGAGCTGGGGGGATGAGGCTCGATCGATCTGGGCTGGGTGGGGCCCGGGGCCATAGAGATCGAGTGGTCGCAGTCGCACACGCCCCATAAATCTCACTGTAACATGGGTTTTCTGCTTGCAGTCTCTCTCAAATAAAAAATGGAACCTCTTACAATCCCATGAAATCACACATATACTTGTACGCAACTTTGACTTGAATGTTAAGACAGACTTCTTTTTCTTTTTTGTGTCTTTCTTTGTTGAATATATATTAAGAGAGAGAGAGAGAGAGAGCAGTTTGTAAGGCATCAAAAATCTTGCACACAATGTACACACCTTAGACTTAGAGAGTAACAAATTAACAAACAACAAAAGAAAAAGAAGTAGCTAGGAAATGAGGCGATATTTCTCCTCTGCTCTTAACATTTAACTCAGTACCTGCAAAAGTTTGGGTAGTCAAAATTTGGGGGGGAACTCGATCGAATCTCTTATCCGGTGACCGGTCAAGTGTATTGGGATGCCCTGAGTTTTCTTCATTCTCTCTCTCTAGTAACTCGTTAGTCGTGACTCGTGATATCTCTAGATTCGACATAACATAGTACAAACTTTGTCTTATTGTTAAACTCGTTATGCCAAAGGTTAAAATGTTTAATCCAAGGAGAGCTGCTGACACTCCAATACAAGATAATAATAATAATAATAATAATAATAATAATAATAATAATAATAATAATAATAATAATAATAATAATAATAATAATAATAATAATAATAATNAATAATAATAATAATAATAATAATAATAATAATAATAATAATAATAATAATAATAATAATAATAATAATAATAATAATAATAATAATAATAATAGGGTTCCATTATAATATCGAGAAACTTTAAGACGAATCAAATGCTATCATAAAAGTGGTAATAAAAAACCAGGTGATATTAATTCACAGGAATTTTGATTGGTCAAAGTTCTTTCAATGATATAGCTTATACAAGGATTTTTTTTTCTTAGTATAAATATCATGTTTTAAAAAATGACTCCGAAATAGAATCGTTCTTGTCACCGGCTTTTGGGTTGACGGTTCAATCATATAATTCAAACGGATGTTCCATTTTAACAAAAAATAATTAAAAATAAAAAACAGCTAAAAATCGTTAAACAGATTGATAATTCGACCACCTGAATTAATGGATCATTGATTGATTCAACGATTTTTGATCAAAAACTAGATTTAAGATAAAACAGAACCTTAAGGATGAATGATCCGATTATCCAAGTCAATGATAATTCGAAAACCATGATAAATATAAAATAATTCAACTTGGAATGGACCTCTATTGAATTGATGAATTTGGATATATGATTTATCAATGCTAGCTAGTTGTTGGGCAGTGTAGTGATAGTGCAGGCTCCAATTGCCTCAAGAGTCTCTAATTGCTTTTATTTTCAATAATTGCAGCATTGTTAACATATTTATGAGGTGGATAGAGTGGTAAAGAGATATACACCCACTAAAAAGCCATCCACGTGCTTGGCCGTTCACAATGGGGCCCTGTTATACCTACGCGTTATCTACCACTTATTCAATTCAAGGCCCAAATTTAATTTGTAGCTGCAGCTATATTCATTTTCTACCATTTCTATATACCATTTAATTATAAATAATGAACTCCTTGCCTTGCTTCTTCAAATTAATTATTTCAAACGTAAACCATCCTGCATTAATATGGAGCTGGAATCGTTGGGAAATTAGTTAGTTTATTAAATGCAACTTATCCATAACTGGGGTCATATATAAATTAGAGGATGTATGTACCGATTTAGATTTTTTCTTTTTTTAATTTACATTAATGCATATTTACAATGGAGTTGCATTAATTATTCAACTTAGGCTGCATTTGGAAACGATGCAAATAGAGTGTAAATCCTGGTTCAGGGTAAATTTACACTCCAGTTCAATTTTACTTGTATTTGGTAACATTATATTTTTGTGTTGACAAGTGACAGAGCAATGCATATTTACATTGATAATAAGATGTAAATGCTTAGTTTGGAAAGAGTATAAATATAAATATGTACAGTGCAAATACATACAAAATAATACAAAATATGAGGTTTTGCACTCTACATATTTGCATTTATACTCCTTTCAAACTGAACCAAAAGTATATCAATAAAAAAGAAGTAAATTTGCATTCAAGCGGGCTTTTGATAAAAAGAAAAGCATATGCTTGATTGGAATTCATTTTTACATCCATTACAACTAAAAATCTCTTTGATAAGAAGATAAATTTGTCAATACAAAACTAACCCAACTTTACAATTTATATGAACCGTTTTTACACTCTACATATTTGCATCATTTCCAAACACAGCCTTAGGTGCAATATCTTCTCTAATGAAGCCTTGCTACCGTTTCTTAAAAAACACATATTTACCAATGTTTTGTGATTTCTTACATGCCCGTCATTTTCGCCTGTAAGATTTTTGGGAGAACTGATGTCATCTTCAGGCAGACCACCAAAAGCTTAACATACTCTTTGAGGAGGGGTGGTCGACCTCCTTGGGTGCCTAACCTTGGCACTCCTAGACCTTCATCCCCTTGCGGGGCGGCCCTGGTTAACGGCTAGCATGGCTACCAGGGTTC